TGCAATTCTTATGAAATTTTATTGTTTATCCCAAACATTTTTTTAAAAAGGAACTTTCTAAATTGCAATTTACTGCTTTATCAAATCAGACATTTTTGCAAAGTAAACCTTCTTTTGTTGTTGTTTTGTTTTGTCTGTTTGTTTGTAACTAGATTTGCGAAATTACTGGTACTGACACCGGGAAGTTGGAAGCAAAGATTGAAGAACTAATGTAGTTCCTGCAGAAAACAAAAACAGAAGTTCCATTAAAATCCACCTTCCGCAGTCTCGTATGTGTCTGTTTTCCTTCAGTCCAGTTATTCAGAAATGATGCATCAAAATGTATGAAGATTCTCATCTGTACAGGAAGGAGAATCTTTTGGTTAAGGCACAGGAATGGGACTCAGGAGATCTGGGTTCATTCTTGGCTCTGCCTAAGGTTGCCCGGTGTCCGGTTTTCGACCGGAAGGCCTGGTCGAAAAGGGATCCTGGTGGCTCCAGTCAGCACCTCTGACTGGGCCATTAAAAGTCCGGTTGCAGTGTGGTGGCAGGCTCCCTACCCAACTCTGCGCAGCTCCCGGAAATGGCCAGCATGTCCCTCTGGCTCCTAAGTGTAAGGGTGGTGAGGGAGCTCCGTGCACTGCCCCGAATGCCGGTTCCACAGCTCCCATTGGCTGGGAACCTGCAGCCAATGGGAGCTGCTGGGACGGCGTCTGCGGGCAGGAGCAGCACGTGGCGCAGAGCCCCCTGGCCGCATCTCCACCTAAGAGCCAGAGGGACATACTGGCCACTTCCGGGAGCTGCCAGAGGTAAGCACCAGCCAGAGCCTGCACCCCTCACCCCCTCCCACGCCCAACCCCCTGCCCCAGCCCTCGAGCCCCCTCCTGCACCCAAATTCCCTCCTGGAGCCTGCACCCCACACCCACTCTTGCACCCCAATCCCCTGCCTTATCCCTGAGCTCCCTCCCACACCAAAACTCCCTCCCGGAGCCTGCCCCCCTCCCATGCCCCAACCCCCAGCCCTGAGCCCCCTCCCGCACTCCAAACCTCTTGGCCCAGCCCTGAGCCCCCTCCTGCAGCCCAAACCCTTCATCTCCGGCCCCACCCCAGAGCCCACACCTCCAGCTGGAGCCCTCACCCCAACCCCTGCCCTAGCCCTGAGCTTCCTCTCGCACCCAAACTCCCTCCCAGAGCCTGCATCCTGAACTCCCTCCCACATCCCAACCCCCTGCCCCAGCCCTGAGCCCCCTCCCGCACTCTGAACCCCGCAGCCCCAGCACAGAGCTCCCTCCTAACCCCAACCCCCTGTCCCAGCCCAGAGCAACCTAGCTCTGCCATAGACTTTCTGGGTGAAATCCTGGCTCCCATTGACTTCAGTGGGGTCAGAATCCACTCTGTATGTAACCTTGGGCATGTCACTTAGAGCCAGATTTTCTAAAAAGCTTGGGGGGCTAATGTTCAAGTGCTCAGCATTCAAAATTGGGGCCAGGTTTGCAAAAAAGCACATTGGGTGCTGGCCCCTTATTAATAATCTGGCATAAATGATGCCTAAATGGAAGCTGAGTTCTTTTGAAAACCTGGCCTTAAATTCAATCAGTTGGAAGAGGATGTCCCAGGAAGGAAACAGCAGCTCCCACTGTGATACCTAAGCGATACCTGCTGTGCTGAGCTCTTTGGAAAAGCAGCCGTTTATTCTGGTGCCTAAAGGGAGCTGAGTTCTTTTAAAAACCTGGCCCCAGCTTTGGGTATTGAGCACTTCTGTAAAAATCTGGCCCTTAATTTCCCAGTACTGTGAGGGGCCCAGATTTGACAGTGAGAAGCACAAGACAAAAGCCTATACATAAAGTTTATGAATCAACATGTTTTCTAGATAGGCAGTGTTAGCAAGTCCCAAACAGACCTCCCCTCCCTCTTACTCCCAATTCCCCTGGCTCATCTAGCAACAGATTCTTTTCAGTCCATTCTCAGCCTTACGTCGACCTAACTGTGGAGGTGTACACACTGCCGTGCTCCTCCCGCCGATTTAACTCTCCTGCTTTGCCGTCATAATAAAGCCAACCGGAGGAGAGGCATAGTGCTTTTTGTGACCTAGACCATGTCTACACTAGCGAGTTTACAGCAGCACAGCTGTACTGATGCAGCTGTGCTGCTATAAGATTGCTCGTATAGCCACTCTTTGTCGATGGGAGAGAGCTCTCCCATCGACATAAGTAAACCACCTCCAACAAGCAGCAGTAGCTGTGTCGGGGAGAGGCTGTTGAAAAGTGGCGTGAAACGTAGTTGGAAGCCCATGGAATGATGGGATAGAGAAAACTGCATCATGGGACGGTGAGCCCACCCAGAATACCCCATGGCAGAGGGCGAAGCGTTGCACAGTGGGATAGCTACCCACAGTGCACTGCTCTCTCTGTCGATGCAAGAGCACCAACTGGACGTGCTCCACCATCACAAGAAGGTATGTGTGGACGTGCAAAAACAGTTTCACTACAGCGGTGGATGATCGGTGACGTAACTTAAGTCGACTTAACTGCGTAGGGTAGACATAGTCAGTCTTGCCACTGCTGATGAGAGACTCCTGCCATCTGGGACAGCTTTTCCGATCTCTCTGCTTCATCAGCTCCCTCTGTTCAAATCTCACTTTAAACCTCACCTTTCGTCCCTTCCTGTGCCGCTCAGTAGTGTTCTCCCTTGGTTATTCTAAGGCTGCCTTATTTCTGTATGCTCTACCTCGGATTACCAACTTTCTAATCACCCAAACCCAAACAGCCTTGCCCCGCCCCTGCCCCAAAGCCCTGCCCCTTCTTTGAGGCCCTGCCCCCACTCACTCCATCGCGCCCCCCCCCTTGTGTCACTTGCTCTCCCCCACCCTCACTCACTTTCACTGGGCTGGAGCAGGGGGTTGAGGTGCAGACTCTGGCTGGGGGTTCAGGCTCTGGGGTGGGGCCAGAAATGAGGGGTTCAGGATGTGGGAGGGGGCTTCAGGCTGGGGCAGGGGTTGGGGTGCATGAGGGGGTGAGGGCTCCGGCTGGGGGGTGCAGGCTCTGGGATGAGGGGTTTGGGGTGCAGGAGGGGGCTCTGGGCTGGGGCGAGGAGTTCAGAGTGCAGGAGGAGGCTCAGGGCTGGGGGTTAGGGTGAGGGAAGGGATTCGGGGTGCAGGCTCCGGCTAGGTGATGCTTACCTCGGGCAGCTCCTGGAAGTGGCTGGCATGTCCGGCTCCTAGACTCAGGGGCGGCCAGGTGGCTCTGCACACTGCCCCTGCCTGCAGGCACCACTTCCACAGCTCCCACTGGCCGCGGTTCCTGCCCAATGGGAGCTATGGAGTCAGGGCTCTGGGCAGGGACAGTGCGTAGAGACCCCCTGGCTGCGCCTGTGTCTAGGAGCCGGACATGCCAGCCGCTTCCGGGAATTGCTCGGAGTCAGGGCAGGTAGGGAGCCTGCCTTAGCCCCACTGCACCACCAACCAGACTTTTAGCAGCCTATTAAAATCTCCCAGCTTGTTTTCAATAGTCACTGGGAGATTCATGCCGATTCCAGTAGACTCCTGGCCAATCCGCAGCTCCATGGTAGGGATCCCTCATCAGGCAGGTCCTGCAGCCAGGGGAGTCCATGGCAAGAGGGCTCCCAATGGGGCCATACTGTCAAGAAGTAAGAGCTCAGCAGCAAGGTCCAGAGCTGATCCAGAGAGACAGAGCATGTGCCTGGACAGCCCTCTGCAGTAAGTCATGCTCACTTTCTTCCCAGGGAGTGAGGAGAGACCCTCCCTATCTTCCCCCAGTGGAAGAATGAAGAAAAAATTCCACAGTGAAAACCTTAGAGAGGACCAGATCTGCAGCTGGTGTACACTGATCAATAGGGTTTTACAAACTGACACCAACTCAGGATCTGGCTCAGCGTTTCCTGCCACCTACGTGGAGATTTCCACGCAGGGATATGATCTGGCCCTACAACAACAATCACAATGAGTATCTAAAATATAAAATCATGGGGTCAGAGTCTGACACCCTTACTTATATCAAGTAGCACCTCCATGGTGGGCCTATTCCCAGAGAAAGGTGCTACTCAGCATGAGCAAGGTGAGACAACGTGGCCAACAGAGTATAAGTCATTATGGTCAGAGCTCATCCACTTTACCATGGAGCTTTACAAATCCAACATAGGTTTGAATTTTTAGGCTGAGATTTTCAAAGCTGCCTAAAGGAATTTTCTTGTTTCCCGTTAAAATTAATGTCTCCATTCCCTAGGCAGCTTTGAAAATGTCAGAATGCCAACTCCCAATAGAGGGACAGAGAGAAGAACATCTTACATTTCTTTCTTTCTGACATATTGGTTGCTGTTGGGTTATTTTTCTTTTTATTGTTCTTATCTGTGTTTTCTCTCTGTTGTATCTCTAAATGTGAATGGTAACAAGAGATCTGATGGATTTACCTAGAGATTTCCTTTTCCAAATTATTTTCCTCCCATCAAATTTTAAATCTTGGATTATCCCAAATGACAGCTTTCTCCTGGCAAAGGGGAATGATATTTCTTTTCCCTCTAGAAGTCCCCTGGAAAGCTTCAAGTTTATAATCCAGCACACAGAGCCGGCACAGAAGTAAGCCAGCTCTTTGTACTTCTAAAACTGACTCCTCCATACACCAGGTATCAGAAGTGGTTTTATGAAATCTTCCATTATCTCTTTGAGTCAACCACCCAGTGACTATTTTAAGAACAAATCATGGGACGGATGTATGGCAGCCCCAAACTGCCTTCCTCCTCATGCGTAACTTCCTGACACACAAAAAGAAAAGAAAGAAATTGTGTGATATGTGCACATGTGATCTTGATGCCACAGTTTTTTATTTGCAGTCAAATTCCCTTGGTTAAAGATGGTATCTTGAGCAGTGAATTGCAAAATGATAGTTTATCTTCTTTTATTTTCTAACTGTTAAAGATCCCAAATCAGAAAGGGAGGTTTTCCATTGACCTTAATGGGCTTTGGATTGGACTTTGAGCAATTTAGAATCTTTCATTCACCTGTCAAGATGCAGATACGGTCAGGAATCGGATCTTGTGTTTCTCCTGCAATTGTTGTGGATATAACAAGCACCAAAATCAAAGCAGGTAAATAACTGCGCTGCTGACTTTGGATCGTCTCTTTTGGTTGATTTGTTTCACCAGCTTATATTATTTCCTGTATGTATTTATTATGAATAATGAAAAGTGGCGCATGAATCTTCGCATTTCTATCAGTTCCTGTCTTTATTGGCCTTCATCTGCTAGGAAAACACCAGGACTGTAAGGAGAACATAGACCCTTTGCTATGTGCAGTTCAATAGTTATCCTTGCAACAGAGCTGCAACCACACAAGAGGAGTTCTGAGGGGTCTACCTGGAGTGAAAATATGTGTTCTGAAGCCATATTGGAAAGGACGTTTACGAGATACTAAAAAGTTGGAGTGGGCTGGCCATGTTCTAATACCTCCCATTGCTGCTGTTGTTGTGCTGATGCTTTGCAACCTAAAACGTAGAGCGGGCCTGACCCTGACCTCCAGATCCAAGGTTATAGCTTGCTCCTGTCTTGAATGGGCTGCATCTGAGCCGTCTGAAATTTAGAAAGATTTGGATTCAGAGCTGGACTTTGACTCCCTCTTCTCTGATTTGGATTCAGATCTAGATGGCGAGTCCCGCGACTGTTGTTCTGGTCTGATCATTAGCTTTTCTCCATATTTTGATCCTTTCAGTGTTCATCATTGTAAAGATGACCTGAAGACCAAGCATTTCCTGGCAGTTAACAGCAGACTGAAAGGACTGAGGCACAAAGCCAAGGGCTTCCACCCCCATCAGCCAGCTATTTACTGGCTGGAGATGCCCTCCTCATATGTCATTTATTGTATTAAAACCAGCCTAGGGGTAGAACTTGCAATGGCGAGTGTTTATATAAGAATTATACCATCTCTGACATTGCAGAAGGTGCGTGCTATACTCACTAAGTCAATCACACAACACTGTTACAATAGCAAGCAGTTTGCTTGTGAGCTGGGATAGTTCCAAATGAAGCTGACGATTCCAGCCTCCTGTTAATGAATAACTGCTAAGGCACAGGCAATCTTCAGTGGCCATTCGGAAACGGTGCGTAAAATTGTGTAACCATAACTGACCATTCCAGTTAATATTAATTGGGTGCAAAGAATGTAAACATTAACTTTGCTTGTAAATGATTACCTTGTTCAGTCTGTCTCAGGGTTGCACCTTTTTTGAGGCCCTGTTTCTATAACCTGGCTGTCTAGAGAAATGATTTACAGTATTTATAAGGCATTATGACCTTGTGTGTAAGAGAAGGTTAAAGGTGTGACATGACTGTGCACACCACTGAGCCTAATTAGCCATTTGTGCAGACTGTCACCAGTTTGTGTTTACAGCTGCATAAACTGCATGTGCAAATAGCCAGGGCATTTTGCATGCACATTTACCTGGCTAGCTTGTCTGAAAAGCTGACCTTTGATTGTGTAAAAAACAAGATTTTACAGAGCCTGAGAGCAATAGAAATACTTCAGTGATGGTTTTAGAGGAAAATGGAAACATGTTTTTTTAATAGAGAAACACCCCATGTGGCATTTTCCACCCTATCACTGCAGAACCGAGGGACAGATTTTTAAAGGTATTTATGCACCCAGAGATGCAGACACGTGCCAAGTGGGATTTTCAAAAGCACCTCGGTGGCTAACTCCATTGAAATCCCATTAAATGCTTGATATCACTTTAACAGTAGATTCGATGGACCTGGTGGTAAGGGGAAGATTATGTAAATATGCAAGAGGGTGGACGTGATTGGCACGACATCAGTCATGTAAAAACATACTTATGAGCTCTGCAAAACATAGGTTCTGTACAGCTGTATTTAGGAATGTGTTAAAGGGAAGATTGCGGATGCTGTTCAAAAGCTTTCTTTGTTTTTTTCTTGAGTTTTAAACAACAAAATAAACAAGCAAGGCAGGGGAGAGGTCTAAAAATAATTATGTAGTATTGTGTTAAGTATGACAGGATGGAGAATTAAAAAGAGGGGAAGAGAATAAAGAGAATAGACAAAAGTAAGAGGAGGCACATGCTACATGGGATTGGTACAGTGCTAGGTGCTATTTATATTTAGTATTCACCCCAGCTTTATTTGCTCAAGAGCTTCAGTCATTATTTAATCCCACAAACAGAGCCAGTTTTCTTTTTTAAAACGAGTCTTGCGTTCCATGCACAAATATGTGCAGCTATTTGCATGCTTACATTTGCTTATGTAATTACCACATTCTAGCATGCAAATTGGGTGACTATGCCTACGAATAGTTAGTTAGGCAGCCAACTAGCCCTGTGTGCGTGGAAGCTTCCATTTCCTGTCTCTTTTAGGATTTTGCATAGTCTTGATGATGACTATAGTATATGAGGCCTAAATGTTTCAATATGGTTAGTGATCATCAGTTTTTGGGTGCTCAACATGAGACACCTGAAAGGGTTTCCAGGCAGCTGGTGCTCAGTACTTTCTAAAAATCAGGCCCCTTAAAGGCATCTCAACTTGAGCACCCAAAAATTCAGACATCTAACATCACCAGTCACTTTTGAAAATTTAGGCCTGAGCACTTTTGCAATGTATACGTACAGTCTCAATGACTGTGGGCTCAAATGCACCTATGCAACAGCCTGCACCTTTTTGGGGCATGGATCGTGGGCATGGACCATTTCTGTGCGGCCCTTTGGGCTGGACTACATATTTGCGACTTAGCCTTTTCAAAAGCATTTGACCGCATGGGCTGCATTTTTAAAACTTTTTAAATTAATTGAGGGTGAGATCCTCACCCCCACTCCTCTTTACACCATGTAAAAGGGCCGAAGCAGCATCAAAGGGCCCCAAAAGTCCTGATTCTGGACATGGGGGGGATGCTCGTGGCATAGGCACTGCAGAGACAGCCATCAGGCTGCCTTTTAAAGGTCCCTTACTAAGCCCTGGCTTGCTGGGGGCCAAGCCACAAGATACAATACTGTGGAGATTCCAGGCAGTAGCATGGCCCATAGGGCAGTGCCAGGAGGTTTTAAATAGGTCTGTCTAAGTTATATTGGAGGGCCCAGAAAAGCCCAGCTTCTGGGCAGCGCAAAGGAACTTAAACCCACTTTAGCCTTCCTTCTTCCTACAAATTCTGAGCCACACCTCTTGGAGGTGAGCACAGAATCCTACCGTGTGTCTTTTTACTATCTGCAAGGCTGCCACTTCATTTAGTGTGCAGTTACCATAGTGCTAGCCCTCCACCTCCAGGGATGGCTGCAGCCTCCCAGCACGGCAGAATTCATCATTTTGCTACCACGATGGCACAAAAAATCCACAATTCCAGGAAGAACGGTGTATGAACTCAATCACCGTTCTGATAAGATCCAGGACTACCCGTTCCAGTCTCAAGGTAAGACTTACGTTGAATATTAAATTAACACTGCCAAATACGTCACTTCAGAAGGTCACAATCTCTGGACAATCCCATAACATTCAAAAGAGTCCCTGATGCACCAGAATCTGTATCCCTTATCCCCACCTTCATGCAGACAGGTGGGAGCCCACTTTGCAGGCAGGATCATGTGTTGTGGTGTTAAGGAGAGGTGCTGAGCTAGAAAGAAGTTTTACACATTTTGATCTATAGCGTTCCACGTATTTCCAAGCAAAACAGGGAAGGGGAGTAGAGTGGAAAGGGGGGAAAAAACAAGGAGAAACTGAGGGTGGAACAAAGGGAGAGGAAGAGAAAAAGTGCAAGAAGAGAGTGGCAGAGCCAAAACAGATAATTTTCTGGCATTCAGGGGCGGAACAGTTCATTTTTATGGGTCTATGCTCTGAATGTGATGTCGCACAGAAAGAACAATAGTTAGATCTTCCCTAAACGAGCCCTGTCTGTTACAATGCTGCTTCTTAGAAACTCCACAAAGCACTCAATCCCTTGCTGTCAAAAGGGGAATGGCATTCAATTTGAGCAGCATGCCAAAAGGCATTAGGCAAATAAGTGTTTGCCATGCAGATCAGATGTTATTAAGCTGTTTGCATGGCATTAGTCACAGAGCACTTTGAAACTGCATGTTGGGTGCTGTATTGTTTATGGTATTGGTCAAAAAAAAATTTCAGCTGCCCAAAATTTTAGTCAGCAATCAAAAGCAGTGCCACATTTTTTAATGGCAGTGCAGAAGACTTTTATTTGTGGTGTACCATCCTTTCCCCTATAATGACATATATAGTTACCTCTTTATGTACTAGCGAAAGAACTGGGCCAGAACCCTGTAACAAAAGGCCCCAGAACTTTGGAGACATTCCAGTCTGGATCTAGATCTAAATGAATGCAAGTCTCTGGCCCATCTCTGTAAAGCATATTTAGCAGAATTCTACTCTGTATGCTATTGAGCCCTCAGAGAAGAATGTTTTTATCTAATTGGTGCTTGAAGCTTCCTTATATTTGCTCATAAAGTTACGGGGCATGATTTTAATCTCACACCAGCTTTAATACTGATGTGTTACTCCTGCTTTACACCAAGCTAAGTGAGATTAAAATTCATAGCTCTCGTGCCTTATTATTGAAGGAAATGTAAACGGTCATAAACTTAATAGGGCAGATTCTGCCAGTCTTACTTATATTGAGTGGTACATTCTCTGAGAATAGCCCTGTTGATTTCAGTGGGAGTCCTTGCAGAGTAAAGGACTGCTCAGTGTAAGTAAGGGTGGCTGAGTCTAGCCCTAAATATTTTTGTTCCTTCCAGGTACTCACTTAGTTTTTGATGAGCAAGCTACATTTTCAATTCATTTACCCAGGGGTAACGCCGCTGAAGTCAGTGGAATTCTTCCAGATTCACATTCATGGCAATGTGATCAGAATTTGACCCAAAAGCCCAGCTTCCTGCCTGGATGGGAGAACCCCAAGCTTCCAAGCACTGGGAGTGAATGTGTTTTGTATACTTCCTGGAAGAGCACAGCTGACCATATCTAAAGAAAGCACGACCAAATACAACCTGCTCATATAGACTTTTATATGTATCTGCAAGCTAGGCACTTAACTGAAGCTATGCTCAGACAGAAATGGTTATTTGTTCCTCCCTGAAAGAGGAGGCTTTTCAGAATGGCAGAACACTCGAGCACATCCTCTCTAAAATATACAATGGCCTGATAGAACATTTCCTTCATTATCACGTTGCCTTTAGCATGCCTCAAGAAGGAAATCCTCAAGATCTCCTTCACAGAGGAGCAGTGCGCCAAAGCCCTGATGTACCTGCTCTCAGCAAACAAATACAAACAGAGGCAATATTTAATATTAGTAATGTAACTTACATAGGTCACAAAGCACCCCATGACAATAAACTGTTATTGACTGAGCCTCTCGGCCTCGCTCTCTTTTCTGTAGGAAAAATTCTGGAAAAAAGAGATGGCTTTGCTAAAGAAAACATAGACCTAAGTACTAACCCTAATCTTGCCCCTCCATCTTACGTTCTTATATGGTCTCCATTACCGTAATATGTTAGCACCTAATTTTTTTAAATGTATTTATCCTCACAGCACCCTGAGAGGTAGGGCAGTGCTTTTATCCCCATTTTAACACAAGAGGAACTGAGGAACAGAGAGACTAAATGACTTGCCCAAGGTCACAGAGGAAGTCTGTGGCAGAGCAGGGCATTGAACCTGGGTCTCATGTTAGCACCCTAATCATGGAATAACCGGGAATCCAAATCAAAGGCTCGGATACAAAAAACCCTGAAATCACTGGGAGTCTTTCTATGGGGATGAGGGAGTATTTAGGAGGCCCAAAAAACTAGATGCTGGTTGTGTGCCATCAAAGTCCATTCATTAGACAGATTGTGGCAGAAAGAGGAGGCTGGAGTATAATATTAGTAATACTGGACTCTTACATAGCACTTTTCTTCTACACTTTGCAAAGGTGGGTAAGTATCATTAGCCCTCTGTTTAC